GACATTGCATGGTCCCACTTACATACAAACACATAGCTACAACAGACACATCCATAGAGACAGGAAGTAGGTTTGCGGTTAACAGGCACCAGGAAGAGAAGGGAAGAGGCATTATTGCTCAATGGGTGGAGTTTCTGCTTGGCGTAACGAAACAGTTTTAGGAAGAGCAGTGGTGGTTGCACAACACTGCAAATGGAATTGATGCCACTGGGTTCTGTGCTTAAAAACGGTCAGCTGAAACAGTACATTATATAGACACACTCACACACACACAGAGTGCTCGGGCGCCCCCGTGCTGAATTCTAGAAGGCACAATCATGACCGCAGGACCATGGCCAGAGTTCCAGCCCAGGGGTGGGCAAACTCATCAGTCCACAGGGCCAAATATCAACAGGACGACGATTGAAATGTCTTTTGAGAGCCAAACTTTTTAAACTTAAACTTCTTCTAACATCACTTCTTCAACATAGACTCGCCCAGGCCGTGGTATTTTGTGGAAGAGCCACACTCCAGGGGCCAAAGAGCCGCATGTGGCTCTTGAGCCACAGTTTGCCGACCACTGTTTTAGGGGAATGGCCGAAGCTGAGGCTGAGGCTGGAGGGCCTGGGGGCAGGAGCACATGGATTTTCCCTCATAAGATCAATACCGTGCCAGCTGCCATTGTGGTTCCTGTCACCACTTTATCCTCTTCAGCTCCAGACACGGGGGGACCCAGTCCTGCTCCCGGAGGCTGGAGGAACGAGCGGGATGTGACAGGGCAAAAGACACAGACGTTGGTGAGACATCCATGCGGTGGCATGTTCCAGTGGTTCCTGACTTTCCAGCCCTGAGGCGTGGTCCATCATGTGGCTATCTAACATCGCGTGGTACTCTCCTGGTGAACAGCGAAGTCACGTGGGAAAAGGTCAGGCGGCATGGGCTGCCATGAACATGCTTATTCATATCTCGGACCCAGGGTGTGTCGATGTTTCACTTCATAAGAAACCGCCTGACCTTTCCCCACGTGTTTGTACCGTTCTGCACTCCCACCGGCACCGTGAGTTCCAGTTGCTCCACAGCTTTGCCGCCATTTGGTGATGTCGGTCTTTTGAATTTTAGCCGTCTGGTGGGTATGCATGGTGGTGTCTCATCATGGTTTTCATTTGCATTTCCTTTTGACTAATGGTGTTCGGTTGCTTAGTGCCCATCGGTATCTTTCCTTGTGGAGTGTTTGCTCAAGTATCTCGCCTGGTTTGTTCATTAGGTTATTCGTCGTTTTATTGTTCAACGTAGCAACCAGCTTTGAGGTTCCCAGAAGCAGTCATCCTGGGTTCTGGGGGGACCAGAAGTCGTGGGGAGACGCGGACTGCGGCTGGCAGGGGCACGCCGACGCTTCCTCCGTGATGCACTGCACCCGCTCTCTCCCTCTGTGCACTCGGGGTGAGCAAGACTGGCTTTGCTGAGGCACCAGGAAATGCCTTCTCAGGAAAGCTCAGAAATGGGTGATGGGTGCCCTAACCGATTTGACTCAGTGGATAGAGCATCAGCCTGCAAACTGAAGGGTCCCAGGTTCAATTCCGGTCAAGGGCATATACGTTGGTTGTGGGCACATCCCAAGTCGGGGGTGTACAGGAGGCAGCTGATCAATGATTCTCTCTCATTGATGTTTCTAATTCTCTATCCCTCTCCCTTCCTCTCTATAAAAAATCAATAAATATATTTAGAAGAAGAAGAAGAAGAAGAAGAAGAAGAAGAAGAAGAAGAAGAAGAAGAAGAAGAAGAAAAGGGTGATGGGTGAGGTGGACGATTTGGTCAGAGAGAACCAAATGCTGAAAGTCGGAAGGCTGGAGGCCTGGCATCCCCTCTATGACCTTGGAAACCTTTCTCTTTGGGCTGGCATCGACACTCCATAGCCTCCTGGCGCTGGGCTCTGCGGAGGAGAGCCACAGAAGAACGTTGAAATGCGTACGAAATCAGCTTTTGAAAATTATTGGACAGTAAATCCTCTCTCTCTCCTTTTCTTGATTAGTTGACTGAAGTTTGAGTCATTTGCTGAGTTATTCTGAAAGAACCACAAAAGGAACTGGATCAGAGGAGCCGCTATCTTTGGTGCCTGCGGGCCGCCAGGACTTCTCCAGAATCCTCCAACAGCTGTTGGTTTTTCGTGATTTTCTCTAACGTAGAGCCCTAGTGTTTCAAAATAAAATAGTAAGTAAGAGCGAGGGAAACCACGGGCACACGAAAACCTGCACCAGGCGTGTAGAGCACCTTTCTTCATCGTTGCTACAAAGTGGAAGCGCCGAGATGCCCTGCAGGTGATGGATAAACGAAAGGTGATTCCTCCAGTCAGTGGACGATGACTCAGCACCAAAGAGATAGGAACTATTGAGCCACAGGAAAAAATGGAGGAACTAAGTGAAGGAAGTCAGCTCCAGCAGGAGAGAATTTCTAATGTGTTCATTGCTACATCCCTAGCATCTAACACAGTGTCTGGGCGCACAGACCCTCAAGACATGATGGGAAACAGAGATCCTTCATCTCATCCTGAGTCACCAGAAAGGAGAAAGAAACAGAGCAGCCGAGGAGACCAGCTGAGACTGCATTTCCAACTCTGTGTCTTTCCAAACAGAGGCCACCAGCCAACATTCTTATCCTCCCAGGCCACACGCCAGACCTGTTTGGTCAGGATGAGGGCTACTTTGCATTTTTATTTTATTTTTAATTTTTTCTAATATATTTTATTTGATTTTATTGATTTTATTGATTTCAGAGAGGAAGGGATGGGGAGCAATAGAAACATTAATGATGGGAGAGAATCATCGATCGGCTGTCTCCTGCTCGCCCCCTACTGGGGATGGAGCCGGCATGTGCCCTGACCAGGAATCAAACCTTGACCTGGTTGACACTCAAGCACTGAGCCCCGCCAGCTGGGCCTAATCTGGATGAGAGAACCCTCGCAATGTTCACCGCAAACATGCCTGTGGAGGGACAGAGGCTGCAGGGCAGGGACTCCCTGTAGTTCCACCCTTTACCTTACAGAAGGAGAAGCTGCAGCCCAGAGGCATGGTGTCTTGCCAAAGAGCCCCAGCAAGCCCCCTCCTGGCTCTCGGGCCTCTTCCGGGTGGCATGGCTGGCACCCACTCAGGCAGCAGGAGATTCTCCTGCCTCTGCTGGCAGAGATCATCGCCTTGGGCAGCTGCTGGTGAAGGCCAACTCCGTCTGTCAAGGCCACGAGGCTTCTACTCCCCCGAGGAGCGGAGCGAGGAGGTGGGGGAAGTCCGAAGGAGCTTTTAATAGGTCTGTTTAGGGTGAATGCTGATGAGGTCACTGGAGGATTCACTTCCCTAACCGGACAGGAACCGTTGTTTTCCCGTTTCTCTTTTCACATGATATGATTTGCTTAGAATATTTAACTTTAAAATGAAATGACCAGATTTCAAATATGCAAAAACCAGAACCAGGTGTAAGCCCAGGAAAACGGGCACCTGCCACGAGTCTACCCAGCTCGGGGGGTCTGTGGTCCTCTGAGTCTAACTCACTCTGCAGTCAGCCTGCAGCCGGAAGTGGAAGCCCTGCTGGCTCTTCTGCTGAATGGTCACTGGGAGCCTATTCTGAAATGTGGGCTTGTTCGGGGCCAGGAGGACAAACAGACCCAACGATTCCCAAAGCTGAGGAGAGGTCAGTGGTCAGCCCACAGAACGAATGGGAAACGGGAGTCGGCACAGAGGCTGGGGAAAGCAGGCGTCTCCAAGCAGGGCGACAGCAGAAATGCCCGGGACAAAGGGAGCCGAAGGGCACTGTGGGGACACTTCTCAGGAAATGAAGTTTCGGCTCCAGGTGCTGCTCACTGTGGACCACCTTCACTTTTTTTTTTTTTTTTTTTTTTTAATATATATTATTGGTTTTTTTACAAAGAGGAAGAGAGAGGGATAGAGAGTTAGAAGAATCGATGAGAGAGAATCATCGATCAGCTGCCTCTTGCACACCCCCTACTGGGGATGTGCCCAAAACCAAGGTACGTGCCCTTGACCTGAATCGAACCTGGGACCCTTCAGTCCGTAGGCTGACGCTCTATCCACTGGGCCACACCTGTCAGGGCCAAACATTTTTTAAAATGACATTTATGGGCCAATCAGGAAAATTTAAACACTAATTGATATTAGGAAATATATTTTTTTGGGGGGAGGGGGTGATAGCTTGGTGGATGTCTTTTAAAGATACATTCTGAAATGTTTACTGGTGAAATTATAGGATGTCTAGTATTTACTTCAAATAATGTTGGAGGGGAGGGGTGAGGTCGGCAGAGGTATAGAGGAAACAAGACTGACCTTGAGTTGGTTAATTGTTGAGTAATGACTACATGATGGTTCATTAGGCTATTTTCTCTACTTTTGTGCCTGTATGAAATGTTTTATGTTGTGTAATAATATAAACATAGTGTATAATAATATAAAAGATGTTTTAAAATTGTGCGTCCGAATGATTGCATGAATGTGAAAAATGCAATTTAAAAATCAGGAAGAAATACTGTCTTGCAAAACGCTGACGTTACTCGCTAGAATGAGTCATTTCCCTCTTCATTTCCACATCTTCGGTAATGTGTCCAGTTTTATAAAGAGAAAATGCTCGCAATAAACCCCAGGGGGAAACACAAACCTCTGTTTTTGCCGTCCTCTTCCCGGTCCTCAAAACCCACCTATTCCCTCCTCCTGTTCCTCCCGGTTTTTGCTTAGCTTCCCGCCATCTTTTCCAAGCGGGTCAGGGTCAGCGCCCCCTAACCTCCCACCGCCCGCAGGCTGACGGGGCCCCCGCGGTCCTCAGCGCGGCGACTTCGGGGGCCTGACTTGAGAACCGCTTCCTTCCGATGCTGGGGTAACACCCGCGCACGCGCGCTCTGCAGGACTACATCTCCCAGGAGGCTGTGCGCCTCGCAGGGGCGGGGGGAAGCCTTGGCAGCGAAGGACTACATTACCCAGGGACGCCTTGTGGGCGGTGTTAGCCGGAGGACGACTGTCCAAACATTGGCCCAAAGTCTGTCGGAAGCTGCGCGGTGATTGGCCCAGGCGCCCGTCACTCACTGCCGGGCGCAGTTGACTTTTGCTGTAAAGGCGGCGGCGTGAGGAAGGAGAGCGGCGCCGGTAGAGCCGGGCGGTGCCCTCCGAGCGGAGCGAGTGACCTCTACCTCCCTCGTCTCGCCGCCGTCCGGACCCCTGCACCGTCGCCCCCGGAGGGAGCACACATGCGCAGGTATTCACGCGGGGCGGGGGCTGCGCGCACGTGTGTTGTGCCTGAGCTGAGAAGCGTCTTCAGGGACGCGGGAGGCAAAGACACGCACACACACACACACACACACACACATACACATACACATACACACACACACACCCGGGGCACCTGGGCACGCGGGCGCCCACCTCGCGGGCATCATCTCGGACCCGGGGAGCACCCCTAGACCCGGTGTCTACACGCGGGCACATCCGCGGAGAGCTCAGCCGAACACCTGGGCAGACCTCGCGGACACCAGGGGCTTCCGCAGAGAGGGAGCCAAGAGAAACATCAGTGCTGAGAATCATGGATCTGCTGGCTCCCTTCTGCACAACCCCCACTGGGGATGGAGCCCACTACCCAGGCCTGTGCCCTTGACCAGAATCGAACCCGGGGCGCTTCAGTCTGCCGGCTGACGCTCTAGCCACTGAGCCAAACCGGCCAGGGCTGGTTCATTCCTTTCAGTGGCTGTATGGTACGGAGTGGCTCAGTGTGTTTATCCGCCTCTCCGTGGATAAGCGTTTGTGTCAGACCTGGTTTTACAAACAGTGATGCAGTGTATGCCATGTGCACCGTGCTGGTGTGGAAAACCCCCTCCAGCCCCGGTTCTCAACCTGGGACAGCTTGGTGCACATCAGCTGGGATTGGCAATCGGTGCTTAAACTTTTAAAACCCAAGCAGGCCAGAGAGCCAGACCTGACCTGATACTCTCTCTGCCTGTGCTGCGGCCCAGGCCGGCGCCGTGCCAGATGGCTGGTCAGGGAGGGCTGCTCGGAGGGGGTGACCCGGAGACCTGACCTGGCGTCTCCTCCTGTGTTCTGCCCGTAGCTGGAAGCTGATGGACGTTGTGCGGGCCGGAGGCAGGGATGGTCGGCTATGACCCCAAAGCCGATGACAGGAGCGTCTCCAAGTTCGAGGCGGCAGCGGCCGGCTCTGTGTCCGGACTCGCCACGCGGGCGCTGATCAGCCCCTTGGATGTCATCAAGATCCGTTTCCAGGTATCTTCCCCCCCCTCCCCGCGAGGGGCGGCTGGAGGACACTCTCGCTCTCCCCCCAAAGCATTGCTGAAAGCCTGGGATTCTGCCAAAACCGGTTTGGCTCAGTGGATTCGATTCTGGTCAAGGCGTGTACCTTAGTTGCAGGCACATCCCCAGTGGGGGCTGTGCAGGAGGCAGCTGGTCGGTGTATCTCTCTCATAGATGTTTCTAGCTCCCTATCCTTCTCCCTTCCTCCCTGTAAAAAAAAACACCAATAAAATATATTTAAAATAATAATAATAAAAAAGAAAAGCCTGGGATTCTGTGGAGAATGTTGCCTTCGTCGCTGAAATCTCGCCTTCTCCCCCAGCCCCGCCTCCCGTCCTGACCTTTCCGCTTTCCTTCCCAGCTTCAGATCGAGCGCCTGTCTCCCAGCGACCCCAGTGCCAAATACCATGGGATCCTGCAGGCGGCGAGGCAGATCCTGCGGGAGGAGGGCCCCACCGCCTTCTGGAAGGGACACGTCCCCGCCCAGCTCCTCTCCATCGGCTACGGGGCCGTCCAAGTAGGTGCGGGGAGCCGCCAGGCCCCTGGGGGTGGGTTGCTCAACGCAGCAGCACAAGGAAGCACAAGGACGCGGGTCGGGCGGCAGGAGGCGGCCATCACACTTCTCACGTGTCTCACCGGAACCCGCCTGCAGAGGGACGGAGTCACACTCCCAATGGGACTTGGCCAATGGTGACACAAGGCTTTTCATTTTCCAAAATTGCATTTCCACATCTGTGCTTCCTTTGAACGCCCCCCACCCCCAGTGGCATTGTGAGGGTGGGAGAGGGTAAGCGAGCTGTAAGCGATGGGGCTTGTTCCTCCTTCCGCCGAGCGCCGGTTTATCTCCGAGAATGACACGTGTTGGTAGGCCCCTGCCCAGCCTCACTGTGGGCCAGGCCCTGTGTTAACCATTCCACCTGAGATAGGTTCTGCTGTCAACCCCATTTTACAGACAAGAAGACTGAGGCAGAGAGAGCTTAAATCATCAACCCCAAGTCAGTAGCTGGAAAGTGGCCCTGACTGGTTTGGCTCAGTGGATGGAGCATCAGCCCATGGACACGGAAGGGTCCCGGGTTTGGTTCCGGTCAAGGGCATGTACCAGTAGGGGACATGCAGGAGGCGGCCAGTGGCTGTTTCTTTCTCATTGTGTTTCTAAGTCTCTGTCCCTCTGTCTTCCTCTCTGTGAAAATCAATACAAAATATATTTAAGGAATCGTTTTAGAAAGTGGAAGAGCCAGGGTTCCCGCCTGGAGAGCCGGCACTGGAGTGGGTGCGCTGGGCACAGGTG